GACCCTCTACTTACGGAACTAATCCGTATTGGAACTGTGGCTGCAAGTCGAAAAGTCTGTAGGTCGAATCTCCATTGACCTACAATGCATTGAAAACCGATTAATCCCATAACTGGCAGTTTTTATTCTATTTTTGTTCCATTTTGGGTTTTTTTTCTGGTCTGTAAGTCGATTCTCCGGCTGCAAGTCGAATCTAAATTTTGCGGCCAGAGAAGTCTGTAACTTGAAAAGTCTGTAAGTCGAGCCGTCTGTAAGTCGAGGGTCCACTGTACTAATAGACCCAAGCAAATCCCCCCTCACTGCACCATAACCCATGCTGAGCTATTGCTATGACACCACTTCCCTAGAGAGTTAAGAAATTTGGAGTGACAAATACAGACCGCTAACCTTTTATTATAAGAAAACATATTCTAAGCAGGGCTCAGAAACTGGTTGCTTTTTCACCTTAACATGCAAAAATTCAAACTCTGTACAATGTACTGATGGAACCCCATAAAATATAGGCATCACAAAATGCTGGAATAAACCACATGTTGTGCCTCTTAAGAACGTCCTTTCTAATATTCAACCCTTCTGCATGTCAAGGATGCCTTCTTTTCTCCCTCTTCTTCATTTCAAAGGAGTCTCTCTGAATGGAAACAAGAAACTTGCTTAAGAACTCATCAATGTCTCTTGCTTATTCTATGCCTGAAGTCATCATCTTGTGACATCCCATAAGCATTGCTAAGGCAGCCTGCTATGATGTGTCAAATAGAAGATATTAGGTCAGGAATAAGCACCAGATGTGTACTAAAATCTTGTTTTGATGAGCTGTCCCTGGTAATAAGATGAAGAAAAGAAGAAGAAAGATCTTGGCATATGTGACATATTTTGAAGCTGAACTATTTTCAAAAGCAGGGTTTAAAGAATCTTCAAGCCTGCTTTGAAGTGTCAGTGTATTTGGCATACAATTAATACAACTGTAGTGGTAGATTTACTTCATATTGACTGGCAAATGTTGGACTGGAAGATCTGCGTGCCATCTATACATGGTAGATGGGCATATTGTCTTTTGCATTCTTAATGACACTATGATGCTTATTAACTGTCAAAAGATATTGCAAATTATACATTGACAGATAATATATTTGTGTTTGTATTGCTCTGTAGGAGCATAGACAAATGAGAACTTTTTCAGTTTGATGATTTCCCTTTGTTATATAGGCAATCTATTATATACTGGTTAGACAAATTAAAAAATGAATCGCAATATTCATTAAAAATTGCTGATTTATTTAATATTCATCCCTTCATATTCCTCAGTTCCAGAGACCCCGACGAATACGAATGGATTATATTTGTCCATTTTTATTCTTTCAACATAGAAAGATCTCTGCCTATGGCCTTCCTACTCTACCCATGGGCCTGCCAAACAGCTGATCGGTAGTATCATAGGCACCCAGGTATCCAGCCCCACAACCTGTTCCGCCCCCTTCTCCTCCCTAGCTTAGCTGCTGCTGCCATCCATCACCACCCACTGCAGTGGCCTCTGCTGCCAGGGCCTCCTGTAAGGGACACTGGTTGACCTTTGAAATGATGGCGGCTGTGGTTTAAGGCAGAGGTGGAGGTCACCGCCATGAGTGGCGGTGGATGGTGGCAGTCTCAGGATGTTTTTCTAAAGAAGCAACGAACTGACAAACCAATTCATGGTTCATCAGTTCACAGGGGGCAATTTGTGACTTGTGGTTCGTCAACTTTGACAGACCACTAACTAGGATGAACTACCATTTTGGTGGTCCATCCCCATCTCTAATACTGGTTACAGCATTCAGTCAGTTTAATAGTTCCCTTCTGCTTTCCATTCTGTTACCAGGTAAACTTTCTGGGCACATGTATGAACATTTTGAGACACACCCATAAAGGATATTTGAACTATGGCAATAGTGCTTGACACAGATTGGGCTATGTCTCACATACAGAGCTAATCAATGTGGAATTTTTTTGTATAAGCAAGAATTAAATATACAGTTATTGTATTGGAAAAAATAGCAAAACATCCAGTAAAGCAGCATAAATGGCAAACAAATACAGGGGTACCTTGCTTAGCAATGTTAATCCGTTCCAGGAAAAATGTTGCTAAGCGATTTAATTGCTAAGCGATTTTAAAAAGCCCATAGAAACGCATTAAAAGATGTTTAATGTTCCTATGGGCTTAAAAACTGACTTTATGCGAAGATCCTCCATAGGGGTGGCTATTTTCGGTGCCTCTAAAACAGCGGGTGGCCATTTTGTTTTTCCGGTGGCCATTTTGGAACTGCTGATCAGCTGTGCAAAAAGGGTTGCTTTGCCATGATCGCTTCCCCGCAATCATTGCAAAGCGATTTTTCCCCATAGGGGCCATCGCTAAGCGATTGCTCTGATGATGGCCAAAACCCTATCGCTAAGTGGTTTCATCGCTCAACGGAGCGATCGCTAAGCGAGGCACCACTGTACAAATATTATAGGGCAATACCAACTCAAAGCAAAGAAAGAAAGTCCAAAGAGGGGGAGGTAAAAATCTTTCCCTAGCCCTCACTCTCACATAAAAAGTAGAATAAATGGGGAGCCAGCAATATGTAGGGAGCAAAGAAAAATGGAGTGGGGAGCTTGGCAGAAATTACCTCTCCTTCATCTAGAACCTTATAAGGAAATTCTTGGGCAAAGATCCTAGTCCCAAGACCAAAAAATCAAGAGAGAAATATAAGCTAGCAGGATTCCGTGGCTAAATCCTGGATTCTGAGAACTAAAATTGATTGATTGATTGATTTTATTTTATTTTATACCACCCATTGGGCCAAGGGTCACTCTGGGCAGTTTACAATAACTAATAGAGTCATTTCAGCTCACAAATAGTGAAGTTAGTCCAAAGATGCCTGGCAGGGAACAGCAAGAGGCCTTCAGCAGCAGCAGCAGCAGCTCTTAGGGAGTGATGGAGACGGCATGCATGTTCCCCCCAGAAGAGAAAAGATGACAAATTTGCTCTTCCACACCTCTAGAAAATACTTGTAGTAAAAATAAACAAAGTGATTTAATCTTTTCTGCTTCTTTGTGCTGTGATTTGACACTTAGCTGTGGTATTCTTGTGTTTTATATTCATTTTTGATCAGAGTAGTTTAGAGTTATATTCCCACAATTTCCTCTTGGGGGCTTGGCTCACTTGAGACTAGAAGAATATTTCTTCTAAGCCACTGTTTTTAATCTGTTCTTATTCCTGGCCAAACATTTTTTCTTATTAAAATATTCTGTGGAGTGCATACATACATGTCTTGGCAAAAATGAGAATCTGCAGGAGTGTTGTACGAGCCTGGCTAGTTTGGTAACAATTCTCAGTGACAAAGATCCACACAATACATGCATGATTATAAAGTGTTCCCAGCATCATTTGTGTGGATGCTGCAAACACAAATATCCATACTGGAAAGTGTATCTCTTCCACCATGACTTAGCTGATTCAAATACAACAGCAAAACAAAGGTAGCAAACTTATTGAAATCAAGAAACAACATTAGTCCCATTGTTTATAGTGAGTCTCCTCTAAGCAGGACTAAATTTGAAACTATTTGTGGCTGTTAAATTCTTACAGGCTATGCATAATTACTGAGTAATGAAAATGTATTTTCTATCATGGGTTCTGTAAAGTGAAGTGACAGGAGTATGGAAAATTGATTGCATGCAATATCATTTTTATCCTTGGAACACAGGTTATTTTATTAGGTTGGTTTATCTGTCCTGACTGGTAAAATCTCTTACATATTTCATTAGATTACCCAGTTAAATTAGTCTGCTGTTTTTTAACTGCAGTTGCCAAGGACTAAACCTGATAGTGAGTCCATTGATTGTGTATACCCGGATGCTCTTAGTGTTTCTTTTCATGTTCTTTTTTCTTTTTCTTTTCTTTTTCTTTTTCTTTTTTCTTTTTTGGTATGATGTTTTAAATCACTATATATTTTAAATGTATTCCCATGTGTGTTCTGTGGGATTTTTAACATGTAAACCACCCACAGTAGCATGGGCACTAATTGGGGCAGTATCTAAATGTAATAAACAATGAAATCTTTGACATCATAGAATGCCTTAGAAAATTTAGAATTACTATATAGGCCATTTTGATATGAAATGATGCTAAGGTAAAGGTAAAGGTTCCCCTTGACAATTTTTGTCCAGTCGTGTCCGACTCTAGGGGGCAGTGCTCATCCCCGTTTCCAAGCCATAGAGCCAGCGTTTTGTCCGAAGACAATCTTCCGTGGTCACATGGCCAGTGCGACTTAGACACGGAACACTGTTACCTTCCCACCGAGCTGGCCCCTATTTATCTACTCGCATGTTTAACCTATATTAGAAAAATAACTGGAAGAGTAAAGCTGTGTTCCAGAAAGAATCAGGCAGTGGTTGAATGTATTTGAATGAAACTGTTTGTTTGTTTGTTTGTTTGTTTGTTTGTTTGTTTGTTTGTTTGTTTGTTTGTGCCTTACACAGATATGCTTATTACGTATGGGGGTGGGAAAGCAGTGCAGCCCCACCACCCTTTCTTTTTGATTTCATCAATCTCCGACATGTGAGAAGTGAAGCATCTGAAGACAGAATTACTGCTGTTTATGAGGGCATGCATATGAGCTGGGTCCTTACTTTCCAAGGTCCCAGTTCACATGGAGAACCTTTTTCAGAGCTAGGGCCCTCCAAATGTAGCAGTATATTAATAAAATAAATAGATAGATAGATAAAATAGGAGAACACGGGCATCAGAAACAGAGGAGGTGAGGTTTGAGCACCCCTTTCAATGTGAAGTAAACACATCTGGTTTATTAACAACTGAACAAGACTGCGGTGGTGCCCAAAATACCTGAAATGTTGCCTTTTCTTTTGGCAAAAGTGAGTTCATTTCCTTTGTATTTAAGCCATACAGACATGGCAGAGATATGAACAGCCTTCTGTGTGATTGCTTTCTAAAGGATTTGCCTTCTTCTTTTCTCCTTTAATTCTAGGATGAAGTTTGCCCTAAAGCTGAAGGTGATGACAATCAACGGTGTGTCTGGGCATCTGCAGCTAACGTAAAAGACAGATTCATCTATGTCACCCAACCTACCTTAGACAGAGTTCTGATTGTTGATGTACAGTCACAGAAGGTAGTGCAGGTAAGTTTTTCTTGTACCATATCATGCACAGGAAAAGGTACCATTCATGTGGCACTGTTGAAGGAGCATATCCTCTCACTGGAGACACAAATCTTTGGTTATTTTTGTCCTCATTGGTTATCATAGAAGATCTTGTACATTTTTGTACATTTTACGCCTTTTTTGTGAAAAATATGAAAAAATGGCTTTTGTACAACTTATGTCTTTTAGGTAGAAAATCCTATGTTTTGAACAAATCCTGTGGCATTTCCTGCAAAATTCAAGATTTCTATGCAAAATAACTGTTATTGATAATTTTGCAAAAAAGGGCTGCCTTTCTCTTTTAAAAAAAAATAAAAAATAAAAATTGGGTATCGCAATTATAAAATCTCCAAATATTTATTATGTTTTTGCTTCTCACAAAGAATTGATTTAGTCGAAAATGTGTTGAAATTGCAATGGCCTATTGGAGTCATGGTGCGTCTGGGGTTATAAAATTCTTGATTTAAACCATAAATTAAATTACTAATCAGCAAGCATTTCATTTTAAAAATATGAATTAAATCAAAAAGAATAAAAATCCAATTTAATTTTTTTTAAATTGAAAATCTGATTTAAATTTTAAAAGTGAACTTCTGATTTTTAAAAAATTTAAATCAGATGTTTTTAAAATAAAATATTGACTAATGATTTAAATTGCTATTTATGTAATTTCAATTTAAATCAAATTCACCCTGTCTTGGGGCCCTGCAATCATAATTGTGCTATGGACAAGGTAGGCAAGTGCTTTTACTTTGAAGTGTGTGATAGTGTGTCTGTGCGCACATTCCTGAGTGAGTGCATATGTTTGTGCACAGAGTGTCAGGGCTTGGAATAAAAAACTGGACCACAGCTTTCAGAAATTCCCAGCCAGCATCACCACTGAATTCTGGGACTTATTGCTAAAATCCTTCTGCACAGTATACACAGATAGATAGATAGATAGATAGATAGATAGATAGATAGATAGATAGATAGATAGATAGATAGATAGATAGATAGATAGATAATCACATAATCAATTATTTGTCCATATATATATTGGGACAAATAATCGATTTGTCCTATATATCACAACAGACCATTTAAAATCTTTCCTATTCTTGGATATAAAAATGAATGTGTTTTAGAGGCTTTTAATCTGTGGAAAAGTCAACCAACAACAGACACTGAGGCAGGGATTTTCTACATACTCTGGTTGCCAAAATTACGTTTGAACTAAACTTCTGAATGCAAAGAATGATTTAAGAATCCATTTAGGGAACTCGAAATTCACACTTTCTAAAATAGAAATGTAACTTTTCTTCAAGCAGCTGTTCTTCTTGTTCATGAATAGGCATTATATGGTTGCTAAAAAATTCTGCTATCATATTCATAAAAAAGAAATGAAACTGATAGAAAGTGTCAGGCACTGCTGCTATTCAAAAATTAATCCTTGCCAATATTCCCACTGCTCTAAAACTTCTTTATAGCATCACAGTCACTGACATACAGCAAATGCTTGCACACTGTTTTATGTGGGATTTTAATAATCCTTAATATGGCAGGTTAAAATTAAGAAAGTTTTATTTATTTTGAAACAGTCCTGGAACTTAGTTATTATAGCATTCAATATATTATAGAAAAGAGGTTTTGTGCAAAACTATAATTTTGGAAAATGCTGAAGACTTCCTTGCTGCATTTATCTAAATTTATTAATAGCGGCTATTCTTTTATTAGCCATATCTTAATCCTGTGAAATCCAAGAAGAATATATAGTTTCTAATGCTTACTTCTGTTTTGAGGAGAACCCAGTATTCGATTTTTAGTGAATTATCTGGTGTGACCTAAATGGGCACCCCCTTTGTGCCCCTTCAGAGTGGGGGACTTGTCTTCTTGGGAAGGATGCTGCTAGGCACTGGTGACCTGGGTGAGGAAACTGGGAATCAAAGAATGATGCTTGCATAGCTCAGAGTTAGACTTAAGTAGAGGTAGACCTGAGAAGTGAAGTTTCATCTCTGGTCCATTCCTAAGGTATCTATTTGAGACTTCCACATGGATCTAGCTTTTCATCTTTGAAGAGGAAATTGACAACATTCATAGCCTTTTCCCTATTTCAACTGAATATCAACTTTGTACATGAGAAAACTCAGATTTTTTTTCTATATGGATGTGTATTTTGGATGGAAATACAGTATTAATGCCAGCATTTTTGCAAAGTCTGTTCTTCTCTGAAGAGCTTCAACACTACCATTCCTGTTGTATTGATTCTTAGACATCTCTGCGAGGAGGAGAGATCTTAACTAATCCACTGAAGCATTAAGTAATAATTATTTTAAGTAATGTCCATTTTCTCACCCTGAACTATTGTATGAAATGCAATAGGGAAACTGGAAAGCTTAGAGGAATTTTTGCAGAGGGTACAGAAGGTGTTGTAAAAGTTTCTGCAAAATGTTGCCAGCCATGGAAGAAATACCAATTTCTCTCTGTCATTTTACAATTGAGATTTAGTTCTGAAGTATATTTAATATGAAGTACTTGGCAGCTTGAGTGAAAGAGTTGGCTCAGCATTACTTGTAATATCATCAAAACGATCCTGATCTTCTTTTTGTTCAGTAATATGCAACTATATTCTTTTTGCAAACTCTAGGAGTTTTTCTTGGATATAGACATAAATCTTTAAATATGTATGTGTATGTGAGGCATTTAGATTCTCAAGTGGTCCAGTATGAAGGAAAGTATTTATTTTGTGCTTCCACATCACTAAGATATCTTTGTATAAGAGGGAAGAAGTCAAATTTGTGTGTCTCCTGAACTTTACTTTCTGGAAAAGGAATGCATGTTTGCCTTGGGAAACAATGCTAGTGCCACAAGAGGTGTTCTAGTGAATTTGTTGAGGTATAATTGCATGCATGGAAATTACATTTTAATCAAATACTTAAAGAATACTGGCTTAAGGGCCATAGGATGTTTTGGAAGCTGCACTATGTTGGCAAGACTTTGTTAGCTTGTTTGATTGTTCTTTAGTCATCCTACAGCTAGCAGCTCTTATGGTAACAAACAATGGCTGAAATCCTGTTGCTTGGAGAAATGAGTTGCAATTAGAGTAGATGCATCATATGGATTTGATGAATCAGCTCCTCCATAGGTTCTCCTGATTCAATGGGCTTACTCTAGTTGTGACTTACTACACTAACAAGATTTCAACTGTAAAGCAAAAAATATAAAATCCAAATACATGTACATTAGAAGAAAACAGTCACAATAAAAACAATCTGTGAATGTAGACATAGACACATATAGAACTGATGGAACCATTTCACTGGTGAACATATGTCTCTGGCAAGGATACAGCAAGAGTATCGCTAAAATGGAGTGAAGCCCTGTGTGGCACAAGGAAAGAGATTTGGTCAGATCCTGTTCCATTTTCAGTGCACAGCCCGAGCTTCTTGATGGTACAAATTTACATAAACTTCAGATCCTGTGCAAAGTTTTTCCCTCTGTTTCATATTTCTACATAAGCCTCTATTTTTCAACTAAAAAAGTTTTTTAACAAAAAGCTAATCACCCATGCATGTAAATTCAACCCGATCCCACTAAAAGATTTTACTGCATCCCCGATTTTCTACATTACAGTTGAATGATAGGGGCTTTTTGAATGACATTTGCAGATTTGGTGGAGGCAATTTGCCACATGACAGTGTGGTTACCAAAATTAGCTGCAACAAATTACCATTTTACATGAAAACATTTTCTCACCAATGGCAGCACCAAAGCCCCGTGGCTTTGGGGAGGGAGTGCCTCAAGCTAAAGTGGCTAAGTGATTCCTCCCTCCCAACATTGTGCTACTGGTGCATGGCACATATAGACCATAGAATATAATACTGTATGCCAGTGGTACATGCACCAGAAAAATAATGTAAGAAAGGTTGACCATAGATTAATATAAGAATTGTCCTTTAACTAGAAATTTGAAGATTTCTGTTTGATTCTGTGTGGTTGTATTTTTTGTAAGTTCAACTGTGTCCAGAAATTGATAGTGGCTGAAATCATCTTGCACAGTTACTCAAATGATATAACATATGGAAGTGAATTGTTATAAATTGAGAAATCTCCATAGACATGATCTGCTGCATAATGAACTGTGCTACTTAGGCTGCAATAAATAATACCTACAGAGATACAGTGGTGCCTCGCATAACGAGCGCACCGTTTAACAATGAATCCTCATAGCAATGCGGATTTTGTGATCACCAATGTGATCGCATACAGATGTTTTATCACACTGTGATGGGGGAACAGCTGTTCGGCAGTTCCAAAATGGCTGCCGGAACACCCAATATGGCCGCCGGAACACCCAAAATGGCCACCAGAACACCCAAAATTGCTGCCGGAACACCCAAAATGGCTGCCGGGACACCCAAAATGGCCACCAGAACATGGGGAAACATTGCAGAATGGTGAGTTTTGGGCCCATTTGGAACGTATTAAACAAAGTTTAATGTGTTCCAATGGGCTTTTCCGTTCCGTTTAGCGATGTTTCCCCATAGTGAAGGTTAATCCAGAACGGATTAACCTCGCTATGCGGGGCACCACTGTATTTTAATTTATGGTAATTTTCATCTAAAAGATATAATGTTTCTGGAGCTATGCAAAAGGATGTCAACCTGTGTATGATACTTGTCTTATTGTCTAAGAACTGATCTAGTTATGAAAGACTAGTGCAAATATCTAATCGCAGAGAAGAGCAAGCAAATTGGCACTAAACAAAGGATGCATAGTTTGTCACTTGATGAAGAAAACAACTTTTCTTTAGAGGAGGCAGAGGCTTCTTCTCATACCTGCAGAGTAGAGTTAGGCATTACCATTGGTTTCAGCTATCCATTAGCACATCACCTTGAGAATCTACATCATTACTTTAAATTAGATTCACTAAATTAGCCAGCTGGTATTCTTTTTGTCAAGCTAATAAACAAGTAATGAGTCACAGTTCTGTAATAGTCAGGTCAAAACACAAAAATCATAAAAAAGAGAATTGTCTTTAAAAAAGCAAATGAGAAACAAAATAAGAAATGTTTTATTTATTGTGTACAATTTTAGAGAAACTACACTTTTGGACAAATGCCACAACCAGAAGAAGTATTTAATCTATCTATCAGTCATCTCTTTCTCTGTCTTTGTCTCTGTATAATAATCTATAATAATAATAATCTTAGAACTACAGAGTTGGAAGGGACCTTATGGATTATTGAGTCCAGTCCCTGTCAAGAGGCACAAACTCCCATCCCAGATAAACCACTGAGCTATCCATCCATCCATCCATCCATCCATCCATCCATCCATCCATCCATCCATCCATCCATCCATCCACCCAGGCAATTCTTTGAAAAGCAGTTAGTTGCTGGTGCTGTAGGTCCAATTTGTAAAAGTAATACATTTTTACTTTTCAACAGTAATTAAATGTTTTTGTTTCCTCCTCAGTTCACATTGGACTTTTATTTCATTCATTCATTTGATTGCTTGTTCCAGGCTTCTGTGCAGTCTGCAGCTAGCTGTTAAAAGTGGAGGCATCTCATTCTAATGGCATGGTCAATGTCCTGCATTTCCCTTTTCATTTTATAATTTAAGCAAAAACAAAAGTATGCCCTGAAATTAATTAAGAAACATAAAATGTGTCAAGGAGGGTTAAAAAAAAGGAAACAGCTGTCCTATCACTTTTGTTTCTTACTGTTTAATAGCTCTGTGATGGCATGCAGTTTAATTAGGTGCAGAGTGAACATACATCCATGGCACATTGTTCAAACAATGAACAAAGATCACTGTTTGAGCAGACGTGCTCTACTTTTCAAATTAATCAGAAAGACTTCAAGGATTTTCAATTGTCTAATACTAAAAGCAGCAAGAAGACATTGCTCATGCATAATTTTCACCCAGATCTTGAGTAATATTGACATTATGCTTCCCATGATTAATTTTTTTTTCAATTCTTCAGGCAGTAAGTACAGACCCAGTTCCTGTGAAACTCCACTATGACAAATCACATGATCAAGTATGGGTGCTCAGCTGGGGAAGCTTTGATAAGAGTTCTCCTACACTACAGGTCAGTATTCTTCATTTCAGTGTTTTGCATGTTGCCAAAGCTCATTGTACCATTTTGGAAGGCAGGTGGAGAAATATTTGTTTGAAAGTGCCCCAATGCCAGATCTCCCATACGTACCCACAAAAGCTCTCCTGGCTGGAAAAGACTGACTTAGACGTTTTCTATTTCATGTGCCAGCCTTCAAAACTTCAAACAGGTGATATTTTTAAACAAGGTTCTGTGTACATTCTGAAATGGCTCCATCCCATAGGAGAATCATACCAGCTTTTTGAACCTGATCTAAATAAACACTGATGAAAAAAAATCTTCCTGTTCAAGTAGCCTGCAGATCAATTGGTAGACAACCGCCAGAACTAGGGGGCTGCACACATCATTTCTTTTGCTTTGGAAGTAAGAGGCAGAATGAATGAGCCACTAGTGCTAAGTGCTTCTAACTCAGATGTTTGCAGTCATCAGATCATCAAGGTGACTTTTTCATTAGACAATGATCACAACAAGAATGAAGTCCAAGAGAGTTAAAAATAGAATCCCTCTGTATTCTGCCTCTCTGTGATGCTCCATTAGGCTTGCCATTTCTTTTCTTTAACCCGCCCCCTCCTCGAAGTCTCCTCATTTCTAACATCTACATGCTAAGTGGGTAGGTGCACATTGTTTTCTCCACTTTGGAAATAGCCATACCTCATGAATATGATCACTGTAGATGGTTCAGAATTTTGTTCAGTCCCTCTTTAATGTTTCATTGTGCTTTGAACATTCAGTGGAAGGAAATGGGTGTGGGGAAAATGGGTTCTGGAGAAACTGAAACTGCCAACCCTAGATTAAGGGTCCTTTAGCTGTTTCAGCAGGGACAGATGTTCCTAGAAGCCAGCTATAGCACTTGAAGGCACACAATCTCATGAGGAGGACTGTAACTTGAATATGTTGACGGTGCAATGAAGTTGTAAACAGATGACCACTGAACTGAGAAAAATAGAAATGGAGTGGATGTTATATATTATCATGTCCAATGCCCTACTCAGGCAGTGAATGATGATCTGCTTCTTAAGCATGAACATTAATATTTACTAGAAGCATATGTTTCGGGTTTTTTTTTACTGCAACTCCCAGAATTCCCCAAATGGTAAAGTCTGATTGTACACAACTCTCAGTATTTTTTTTTCCGTTGAACTGTTTGAAAATCCAAATTCTTTGTCTAAGTATTCTTAATTAATAATTATGAACCATCAGGTCAATCCTAACTTGTGGTGACCCTTTCCTGGATTTTCTAGGTATACATCATTCAAAAGTGGTTTAGCATTCCTCTGTTCTGGGCAGTGCTGTGACACTGTGCTGCTTACCCAGTGCTACACAGACTGGCTCTTCTCCTGGGATACATTGTGGAGAATCCAACTCCCAACCGACTCCTAACTCACTGAGCTATGCAGCCAGACTAGGAATTCCCATCACACAGCAAAATACCATATGCTAACCTCTCTGAACAGAGAAGCAATGCAATGCTTCCATTCTCTGAGTTTGAGATAATTTCAAATATCTACGAATGTGTTTGCTTTTTTAATCATTCACTTATTTTTGTATCATTTGTTCAAAGGGGATAATAACTATCAATCTGATTTTACTCAAATGAAATTCTTGCTTTATAGATAGCACATTTCTGAACGCAAAGTATATTTTTTATTGATTACGTTATGGTAGGTGATGCAAGTCTCCACTGAATGTTAAGCATGCCGTTGGCTGCACTGTTATTGGACAATACTTCAAAATATTTTTATGGCTTTTATAACAAAATAGGCATGAAAAGCCCTTCCTAACAGCAAATAATTGCTTTAATATTGATACAGCCCTGTGAGGCACCATTATGGCAAAAAGCAAAAGTTCTGGAACAGCCTGCACTGACTATGGTGCAATTGTTACTTCACACAAACTCTGACACTGTGCTAGTGTCATGAACAGACCTCAGAAATATATCTTGGCACAGTGACAACAATATAAATCACTCCTTCTGGATAAAATAGAACAGCGCTACAGCTGATATTGACAAAAGAAATGGTAGTAAAAGAGCTGTGCAAGGAGGAGAACACGTTAGTAACTTCTCTCAGATTCGTATATTTTCATGTACATGCAAGTAGTCTCAGCTGTCTCCAGACACGCATTCCCATGAACAGATACAATGCATCATGTGAACATTTCTGTGGCTAGAAAAATGGGGGAAATTATTCCACAGCTTTACCTGGGACACAACCAGGACACATATAAAGCCTCAGCCCTGCATTACTTGGGGGGGGGGCAGGGCAGAGAAACCCCAGGTGCTCCTCTTTATTGATAATCCACTTTTGTTATTTTTGCTGCTTGTTCTATTTTCTTTTTCTTACCATTTAAAATTTGTTATGCGGAAAAGTTAAAATAGCTGAACAGCACCAGTGGCTACCACGAGGAGCTCTCCATCTGGATTTAGCCCTAAATCTCCTCCCTACTGCAAGGATATCTGTGCAACGAGCAGCAGTGTTGTGCCTGCCTAAGGTTAACAGTGCAAGTGCCACTTCTAAGACCGCCTCCGTTTAACTCCCCTCTGCACTCATTGCCTACAGTCCCACACTCCCTGTCCCCTCAACATATTTACTATCCATATACCCGATGTTCTGGATTATACCTCCAATAGAGTGGGATGGTTGCTTGTGTGGAAACAGGAATAGTCTCACAAATGTATATGTGCTTTATGTAAATGATCACCAGACCATCCAAAGATAAACACTTGCGTATCTTCTTGTGTAGTTACTTTTAAGAAGAGGTCCAACAAGCTCGTTGCTGAATTACCTTGTCTTGCTTAATTGTACGGCCATATAGTGTATACTTTATCCTGTTCAAATTGTTGTTTTTTAAAAAAATTGCTTAGAGTTGATCCTATCACTTGAAGTGAACTTTCAGTGTGCATTTGGATGTTGCTGCTTGAAACAGCCATCTGAAGAATTGTAAGAGGACTCTTTAGCTTTTGTCAAAGGGAGGTTAATACACATCTATACACTTGTGTTACTGAAGAACTGAAGATCTGTTGATTTCTATAATTTACTAAAAGTGTCAGAATACAGTGTCCATTGCATAATGCCACCACAAATTAAACACACAGTTAATTTACATAAACCATTAAAGCAGTGGTTCCCAAACTTCTTCCACTTGTGGCTCCCCTTAGCAGTGGCGCTGATGGCAGTGCAGGAGGAGCCGCAAGATGTGCTGTGCAGGGCAGGCAACAAAGAATCAGGAAGGAGCTGGAACCAGGGCCAGATGGAAGAGCAGCAGCAGCTTCTGCATTCCTCCTGGCTGGTTTGGCGATACACCAGGGAGCCGTGGGGCACTGCAAGGAGTAAGGGGCGCTATGGCGCACACTTCGGGAACCTCAGCATTAAAATAACCAAACATTTAAGTAATTCTGCAATATGTCCTCCAGGTGATAACCCAGGCCAGTGGAAGTGTATCTCATCATACGATTCATACTCAACCTGTGGGGAAGCAATTTGACAGAGTGGATGATTTTTTTATTCCATCTACAACTCTTCTCATCACTCATATAAGGTAGGTAGCACATAAAATACAGTATAATGGAGGCTGTAGAGTTTTTCCCAGATCTTTCATGTTTGTTAATTTCATACCTCCCCTTTCCCATATGGAACTCAGAATGATTTGGACATGGTTATCACATGTTATTTCACAAAAATTGTATGAGGGAAGGTGACTAGAGGTCGGAACACAGGTTTCTGTAGTCCAAGACTAGTAGTTAATGATAGGGACAAATATAAAAATGGATTGGATTTTCCAACAAATAATGCTGAATTATTAAATATTTGTCAATCCATATTTGTTGGTCCCAGAAACCCCCACAAATATGAAGGGATGAATATTTACCCATTTTTATTTGTCCTCAGCTGATTGGCAGCAGAAGGGCGGCAGCCACCCCACACAGCCACCCAATACCACAGCCTAACCCCACCCCCTTCCTTTCCCTACCTTAGGCCCCACACCACACCACACCCACCGACACCCTGTTACCTTAATTGCTGCTGCCAAGGTCTTCTGGCCTGGCAGCCATGCATGTAAAAATAGAGACTGGGTGCCCTTTGCAAAGATGGTGGCTGTGGCTTCATTTAGGGCAGGGAAGCCACAGATGCCATCTCTGCAAAAGGCAGCCAATCTCCCTTTTTATACACTGTGGCTGTGGAGGCCTGATGGAGACCTTGGCAGCAGCTATTAAGGTAAGGGGGTGTCAGTGGGAGTGGGGTGGGGGCTAAGTAGGCAAAGGAAGGGGTGTGGGGGTAGGCTGTTGGGGTGGCTGGCTATTGGCTTCTGATCAGTTGATCGGTGGCTGGTAGGCAGAATGGGCTTCTGTGCTGTGTGGCAAACTCTCCTGGGGGGAACCAATTTGTGGGTGAATAACTCAAATGTCCAATATCCAGTCTTCACCAAAGTTGGCAAACGTCTTGGTGAAAGACATAGGATTCTGGATTCTCTAAGTAACGTGGGCGGAGCTTTCCTGTGGGGGTCCTCTTTGTGACTATATAACTTGAGGGTCCGTGATCTAATGTTCACCAATCTTTTTGGAGTTGTAGAAAAGCGTTTGAGGAAACTTTCCTCCAGATTTGGTATCTCTAACTGGTTGGGGGCCAGTCTTATAGCCATTTAAAATGCAGATGAATTGACAGATCAATCCATCAATTTGTCGAAGAATATTTGTATATTTGTATTTGTTGATCCGTTAATCTTGACGAATAACGGATCAAAATGAATCGCCATTTTTTTATTTGTCCCCATCTGTACTCGTAGTCTGTAATTATTGTCATAGATAGTCTTTTGTTGCTACTAGCTGCATTTTTGCCACTGGACCTTTGTGGTCTTCTTCAAACATCTTTATTCTGGCATATTACTTTGTAGAATTTTAAGATTCTGTGAAACTTGCTGCTTGGTACTCTTTAACTTATTTTCATTCTCAGTGTCTAGTAAAATGCATTGGAGAATATGAAAATATGTGTTGTAATATTCATTCTGATATTACACTGGATTCACCCTAAGAATAGCATTCAATTGTGCTATTATCTTTGCCATATTTTTCATCTCTGACTTCTTCATCTATCATATTTAACTTGCCATTGGTTACCTAAATAACAAAGTTAGACCTTTGCTTACCTAAACTCAGGGGAAAATTAGTATGATTCAGGTAAGGAGTTCAGACAGAAGCCATCTGGATAGGTGGAAAGAATTGGGATATATCCAATTGTTATTCCCAGCTAAAGCATGCCCATTTAATGGATGCAGCTGGTTAAGCCAATACTTTTTAAAGTGCCATTGATTTGGTGTGTCTATTCTATTTGGAATTAACAACTGGATTTAGCTCAATATTGTCTGTATTGACTGCTTCTGTAGTAAAAATGAAATGAAATATTTTGAAGAGTGAATTGAATACAAAGCAGACTGAGGCTAGGATAGCTCAAATATAATAGGAGTCAAAAGAAGGAACAAGTGTCTTGTTTTCAAAAATTACATTATTGTTTTAAATGTTGAGGAATGCATATTATTCACAGGTAATGTCATTGAGTTGTAGTGTTCTTTTAAAGAACAGCAAGCTTAGTTCATTTATTTATTTGCAATCATGTGCCAGCTCATCACAAGCCATATAATTATTAGGGACAGAGCTAAGAAATTTCAAAAAATCGAAGCATCTGTTCTCATTTTGATTTTTCTCCTCCCTTTGGGACAGCTCAGAAACTTCACATGGATAAGACATTTTTAACAAAAGGCCAACAAAAGGGAAGAGGAAATCTTTAAAACAGATTTTTAAAATATAGTGTATTTGTTGCATCTGGTACTATTTATTCTGGTGCATGTTCTGTGCTCTCATACCATATTTTGTTACCGTATAAATGTTGTTCGTAACAGCTCAAGCCTTTGAGTTATTTACTTTTCTAAATCTGCTGGACCCAGAATAGAAGCCAACTCTGATGCTCATCAGGGCATAATGGTCATGGTGGCTTTAGGCTTCGCACAGAAATTTTATGGTAGTATTAATGATGTGCCAACACAATTTATAGCAACTATCTTCTAAAACTAAAGTGTGGAAATCCTGCTTTTACAGCAGGGCTGGGGAAATGGTGGTTCCGCAGATGCTGTTGAACAATTCCTATCAACTGTACCAAGTCTGCCCAAAGGTGAAAGATGACAGTAGTTGTACATAGATTTATGGAGGACCACAGCCTTCCTAGCCCTCCTTGAGATTATTTCCATGGTAGTAAAATAAAGCCTTTCTTTATTCTTTAGCACATTTGCATGGTTTACATGTAATACTACTGTAATACTTAGGAACATTTGAAAAAATCATTTTCTGATATTATGAATTAGAGTGGTGAATTTGGTATGATTTTTGCACCTTTTGCCCCTGATAACTGCTTTAAAGTAAAGTAGATAAAGTGGGAGAAAATAGGCAGAGTTCAATGCTAGGACTCTTCTCCTAAGCAGTGTTTTTAACTCCATAAAGTGTAGTGCAACTTGAAAGACAGTTCTTAGTATAGTTAAAAATACCCAGTATAGGCAACATAGCAAAGCACAGTATGGGGTAACAAGCTTGGCAAAAATCAATGCAGCTTATTAAAAAGGGGGATTATAACCTTTTCCAAATATGTCTGTGTTGTATCATTCTATTAATGAACCACATTAGCAGAAATCCATGCTATTTAGACAAGGATCCACAAGAAATGCTAATTGTATTCCTGATTAACAATCTCCTAAAATTTCTATCATGTTGATCTGAATTTTTCTGTGAAAATATTTTATGATTATGTTAGATAAGACTTTGTGCTACATGATTAGGCATATGGATTTTTGTACAGGAGCTAAAGATAAGTGGAACATAAATGAAGGTGAATGGGAAAAGGAGATAAGGAAGTTTGTTCCAAACAAATCAAAAGTGAGTGCTTTAGGAATAGGAAAGTGTATATTTTAGTCCATTGCTATCCCTCTCTATTTGTATTGCTACATATGTATAAACCAAGGCAATCCTATTTATGCATTCCTTTCAATGTGTGGTAGGCTATTGTGAGCTGAATGAGAGAATTCTTGCTGACATCTTTTATTATATTGAGGACTTCTTGTATAAGTAAATTGGAAGCTTGGATGAGTTATTGAAGGCAGCAGCAGATTGGAGAAAACTGCAATGAATTAGAGGGGTGCTTTGTATAATACGAGAGGAAAAATGTTTAGCACACACCCCATGCCCGCAATGCTTCTGTGCAGGTATATTTAAAAGCAAAGTTTGCTTCAGCCTAGGAGAAGAACCAACTAGGAAAAATAAATGTCTGCCCTTTCTCTAAACTAGAGATACCAAGGAAGAATGGTACAGTACAGTATTGGGAAAATAAACAGCAACATCTCTTGATTCTATTCATTTTCCTTTTTTAAAAACAAAGTGTACACGTAATTTTCTTTTTCCTTGGGGTGGGGAAGCTTGTACCCATGCAGCAGAGTCGAGTGTATGGAAAATAATCTGACACTCCCAGGTGCCAGAACTGCTAGTTATGGCTCTGGATCCTACAAGGAGGAATCTGACAGGCTGAGAAGTTTGCTCACTTCCTATCAACAACAAGAGTGCTGCATCTTAGATTTTGGTCAGGATATAGGTTTGGAGGTCTGGGTTTTACACCATTTGTCCAAGGGCTTCCCCCGTGACATCACAAGAACCTGCTTGTTAGTTTCAGTGAATGAAATGGTGCTATCCTGGTAAACAGCTGAGAGTGAGACAAAGGTCTTTTGTTTATATGTTTTAAGTTTCCGGATTTTGCAGACATTTCTTTCCCCTTGAAAAGCAAAGCATGCATCAAGAGTATGCACAACAAGGAGGATTTGCGGATTGTGGGAAAGACAAGTCTAATTTGATAGCAGCAGGAACTCTAGACTAGTTCTCACAGAGGATGAGGAAAATAAAACATTATTTGTCCTCACCTAGAAGGCCAAGACAAAGAAGATTTATAGTCTTAGGGCCTGTCCACACTAGCATTTAAATAGAATATATAGCTCACTGAAGGAATGGTTTAACTGGGGGTGGGGAAGCCCACACATGCTTGTGTTTCTACTTAGATCAAGCCATCCTTCCATTCTAAGAGCTATGCAGATGGTCAGGGGAAGCAACCCCTTGCTTCCCTGTCAGTTCTGGATGCCCCAGCCAGCACTGTCAGCACTGAACCCTTCCACAGAGGCAACTGAGTATTGGAGACAGGCACAGCGGATAATATGCTGTGTGTGGGTGAGGGACTGAGTGAGTGCTAGTGACCTTTGGGCAGCAACAGCAATGGTCCACCCCCTCTGCCCTTCCCCTGCGTGTCTCATGGCTTAGTTCCGTACACTATGCCTTCCTGCTACACTCCCCCTTTCTTTTCCGCTATTTTTTCTTTCCTCCTTTATTTCCCATTTTCTGTCTTTTTTATTTACTCTCCCATCCATATGTTCTCCTTCTCTCCTGGCAGTTTCACCTGCTGCTTCAGTACTCTTTGCCTTCTCTTGGCTGCTTTGCAATCCTCATTGCTTTTATCAGT